TTGGACTTGGTTTAGGGTTTAGGGTTTAGGGTTTAGGGTTTATGACTTAAGAATTAGACTAGGGTTTTGGGGCCCACTATACTAGATTTATAATAAGGAACCCCCAGGACAGTTGCCACCAGCGACTTGCCTAGCAGCCCCGGCCACGACTTTTGAAGCAGGTTTTACGGGGTTCTAACGTGTCATCGAACGTAGAAGGGTTTGTCGGCTTGAATGCGACAACAGAGGATCCTTCAGCACTAAACCTGACACCCAACTCCTTCAAACCTCCCCCGTTCCGAGGCACGAAAACGAACAAATTCACAACCCTTTCGCGGCAAATCCCGCAATCTCGAAGCATATATAGAGGATGTGCACAGGATGTGTATTTTCCCAACACCTACTTCCTAAACGGCTTCGGGTTTTTGGGGCTGTAGGTTGTGGGGTTTAGAGTGCGGCCTTGAGGGTAAGCCGCAGACCGCACTCAAGTTGCTACGCAGGACGAATGCTATGGGGCCCATGATCAAGGCCCTTGCTGCTGCAGTTTGCTTGTCTTTGGGAGGTGTGTAGTATAGGGGCCTTAATAATTAGAATAGGGTTTGGGGGGGTATATTAGACTATAATTGTAATAAGGAGCCCCCAAAACCCTATTCAAAAAAAACGGCCCCTACGTTAGATTTTAGGGTTTAGGCCGTGCCGACATAGGGCACGACAGATCGCTCCGACACAATGACCATGGTAATGGTGGAGTGCAAGGTTCCCTGGTGTTTGGGGATTCTGGACGGGTTTAGGGTTTAGAGTTTAGGGCTTAGGGTTTAGGGGTTTCGGGTTTAGGGGTTTAGGGTTTAGGGTTAAGGGGCTGCGTCGACATGCCTTTTGTAGTTCCATAGCGGCGCAGAAGCACAATCATCCTGAGCGTTTAGTGCGTTACACTGCAAGTTGCTCTAATATAGGGGCCTTAATAATTACCTATACTATTTTGGGGGGTCCCTATTACAATTATAGTAAAATGGGCCCCAAAACCCTATTCCAATTATTAAGGCCTCTACATTAACTGAAAGTTCCGGTAGCTAGCGTGTCCCTTCTTCGTAGGTCATCCTCGAAGATGCCACGACCGGAGACATTGATGCCTATGGCTGCTTCGGTTTCATCCCAAACGAGGCTACAGTGGCCTGGGGCCCAGAGCATAGAGGCTCTGCTTAGGGTTTAGGGTTTAGGGTTTAGGGGTTTAGGGGTTTAGGGTTTAGGGTTTAGGGGTTTAGGGTTCAGGGGTTTAGGGTTTAGGGTTTAGGGTTTAGGGTTTAGGGGTTTAGGATTCCCTGAACCCGGAAGCCCCACCGTAGACCCCCAAGACCCTGAACCCGAAAGCTCTAGACCCTAGATCCCCCCCCCCACGCAATGAAGCAAAGGTGCCTCACAGCTCGAAAGGCTGCTAAACCCTAAACCCTAAACCCCTAAACCCTAAACTCTAAACCCCTAAACCCTAAACCCTAAACCCTAAACCCCTAACCCCTAAAACCCCCAAGCCGAATCTAAACCCCTCGGAGCGTCAACCCACACCCTGACGACGCCCAAAGTTTCCCAAAGATATTTTGGGGGCTCCAAGATCTCGTGCTCGGGGAAGTTGCATCGGGGTCACAACTGGGTTTATATATATATATATATGCATACACGCACACATTTTTTAGAAGAGCCATCAATTATACATATATATATATATGCACTTATGTATATATGTTCAGAAAGAGTTGAAAAAGGGTTCTATCAGGGTTTTTGCTAAACGTTTCGGCCCGACTGCACGGTTTAGGGTTCACGGTGTAGGGTTCAGGTTTTACGGTGTAGGGTGTTGGGTTTAGGGTTTAGGGTTTAGGGCGTAGGGTTTAGGGTTTAGGTGTTAGGGTGTAGGGTTTAGAGTGTAGGGTTTAGGGTTTAGGGTTTAGGATGTAAGGTTAGGGTGCAGGGCAAGCCTTGAATCCTGAAGCCCCCCGAAAGTCTTAAGCCCAAATGCTTGAAACAAAAACGCTCCCCAATATCCTTAAACTCGACAGCCTAAACCCTTAAGCCCCTAAGCCCCTAAACCCCAAAACCCTAAACCCTAAACCCTAAAACCCTAAACCCTAAAACCCTAAAGCCCTAAACGAACCTATAGCCTGAAGGCCGAACCTCTGAAACGCATCATTCCAAGAGACAATAGGAAGGACCCCCTAGAAGGGACCCTCAATCCAAATACCCTATATAATCCTTATATACCCCTTATATAGTCTCATAAAGCCCCTGTATAACCCCAAGGGTCCCTTTAAGGGTCCCTAAACCCTAAACCCTAAACCCTAACCTTAAACCCTAAACCCCTTTAGTCTCTTGATCATTGCCGAGAGCTTCCAAGGCAGGAGTCTACTGCGCCAACCGCTCCTGGTGCACGCCCCGCGCCACCAAAGTGAACGAGGACCCGATTTAGGGGTTTAGGGTTTTAGAGTCGAGGGTTTAGGGTTTAGGGTTTAGCTAAACCCTAAGCCACCCTAAACCCTAAACCCTAGTAGCTAAACCCTAAACGGTTAATCTTTAAGCCTCAAACCGACAATCTTCAAACCCTAAATCCTCAAGCATCAACCTTAAACCCAAAGCCCTCAGCTTTTCAACCCTGAGCCCTGCGGAAGCATTTAAAGAACACCTTATGGAACCGTTCTAAGAACCCTAAAACTCTTGACCCTAAACCCTAAACCCTTTGGAGTTCTTGATCCAGCGATCGGTTTTTCGGCTTTTGGGCGAGTAGGGCAAAGCCTCGCCGGAACTCGGCGCACAGATTCGAGGCTTTGGCGTTTAGGGTTTAGGGTTTAGGGTGTAAGGTTTAGGGTTTAAGGTTTAGGGGCTTCAGGTATGTTTTTTTGTGGCTAGTGGGTTTAGGGTTTAGGTTTTGCGATTTAGGGCTCAGGTTCCGGGGTTGCGATTAGGGGGCTTAGTGGAGGGTTCTATGAAGTTTTTTCGGGTGTGTGCTTTGGGCTTTGAGGTTTGGGGTTTAAGCATTTGGGCTTTGGGAGTTTGGATTTTTTTTTGCAAGGTTCGTGGCTCGCAGGTGTTCCTGGTTTTGGGGTTTTAAAGTAAAAGGGTGGGTATGGTCGCCCGGGTCCAGGGACCTCTTCCAATGGGTCGCTTCGCTATGTCATGTCGGTGTGCGGAGCACCATGATCCTGGTGGTTACTCACATAGACCAGCTCCGACTCCCTGAACTTTACTCCCTAAACCCTAAACCCTAAACCCTAAACCCCTAAACCCTAAACCCTAAACCCGAAACCCTAAACCATAAACCCTAAACCCTAAACCCTAAACCCTAACCCCTAAACCCTAAAGGCAACTCAAGCCCTGGACGACAGATCCTGAAAGCCCAAACCGTAGAGCCCAAGCCCAAGCCCTCGGGGCCGGGCCCTTAGAGTTTCCCCTCTTCCTTGGACGGGTTTGGGGCCTAGGGTTTAGGGTTTAGGGTTCAGGGTTTAGGCTTTAGGGTTTAGGGTGTAGGTTTTAGGGTGTAGGGTTTGGGGTTTAGGTTTTAGGGTTCAGGGTTTAGGGTTTAGGCTTTAGGGTTTAGGGTTTAGGGTGTAGGTTTTAGGGTTTAGGGTTTAGAGTACTTCGACATGTCTACTACTTTGCCAAACCCTCTTTAGCGTGGAATGGAGAACTGGATCGTTATGATCGTCCAATGAGGCTCCAGTCGCCTTTCGTTCTGTTGCGGCAGCGAGCTCCTCTGCTTTCTCCATCTGTAGCTCCGTGCATGACTATGTAAATAAACCGAGATTGTCGTTTGATTGCAACAGCAAGCCCGAACCGAAACTATGATGATCAGGCCAGCCGCGGCCAAACAACAACAGAAACCAACAAACCCTAAACCCTAAACCTTAAACCCTAAACCAATAAACCTGGACCCTAAACTTGACGAGGTGAAGGTGAGGGTGGAGCGCTCTGGGGGGGTCGGGTTCCTTTTGTTAAGGGTTTAACCTTAAACCCTAAACCCTAAACCCTAAACCCTAAACCCTTTAGGGTTAAGGGTTTAGGGGCGACCTGGGTGCTAATTGCACCGACTCGCCTAAGTCCGTCGAGTATGATGTAGAAGCCTAAAGAATTGCCAGCAGTATATATATATATATATATATCTATATCTGTATATATCTATATCTATATGTATATTTACAAATATTAATCAAATATCTGTACTATAGTTATAAATGAACCCATAAGCCTATTCCCTTAGCCCGAGGGTTCTTATGTGTAAGTGCTGCTCGGGCCATACTTCAAGCAGTGCAGCTCCTCCAACCCTAAACCCAAAACCCTTACGTAAGTCTACACCCTTAGCCCTAAACCCTAAACCTTAAGCCTAAACCCTAAACCCTAAACCCAAACCCTTAAGTCTAAACCCGAAACTTCAAATTTTAAACCCTAAACCCTAAATCCTAAACCCCTAAGGCCATGCTTGAAGCTGTAGAGCAGGAGCTGATCCTGGACGGCAGCAACCCGGATCACCGGATCACCGTGCTGAAGGCTTAGGGCTTATAGGGTTTAGAGATTAGGGTTTAGGGGTTTAGGGGTTTAGGGTTTAGGGGTTTAGGGTTTAGGGTTTAGGGTTGAGGGTTTAGGGACTTTGGGTTTAGAGTTCAGGCTTCAGGGTTTACGATTTAGGCTTAAGGGTTTGCATGGTTTTGGGCCTTGGTGTCGAGGTTCAAGGTTTGGGGTGTGGGCATTGGGAAGTTATGATGTCGGCTGGAGACGCTAGGACAGCAGAGAGCTCTATAGGAATGAGCACAACGAAGCCTGCAGCAAGTGGCAGATGCCGCAAACCTGGTACATGCACGAAGCCCTAGAAGCCTCCCGAAACCCTGAAGCACCCCTAAACCCTAAACCCTAAACCCTAAGCCCTAAACCTCTAAACGCTAAACCCCTAAACCCTAAATCCTAAACCAAAAACCCTAAACCCTAAACCCCTCAAGACAGGAAAAAAAATTGTAT